GTAGTGATGTAACAATACCAGATTTGAATATTGACTTTGAAAGTAAGTTCATTAACAATTATAATCTAAAATTGCAAAACAATTGATACATTACCATCTTCGTCATCACTACATTATTTATGTAAATCTTTCTATCTATAGATCCCATAGCAAAAGAAGAAGAAAGAAGTTTACACATAAAAATTTCTCGACTTCTTCAACCCACTGATACATTATTAGATTCTATACGGCAATATCAAGGTTGTGGAGAATTAATAAAAAAAGCTATATCAAACCCGACGCCTGATAATGAAGAAGAAGCTTGGCAGGCCGTTAAACCTGCTGTAGCTAAATTAAAAAGATATTTTGAATTTTCTGCTTTGCTTGGTAAAATTATTTGTTTTGTTAATGCTTTCTATTTGTTTGACGGTTAATTAATTGATTATTTATTTAGAGAATGCATTTCCTGAACTATTTACAGTTCTTTGTGAAGGCAATGTTAAAAAAAATATTGAAGAATATCAATCACTCTCAAAATTATTAGCTGACATACTAGATTTTGCTTTTGAATTTGATATTTTAAAGGTTTGTTTAAATTTGGAATTTATAATGTATTGCCGATACATTGAAGATTATAATAAGCGAAGATAATAAATTATTAAAATTTTAATTCAATCTATTTATAGATGAGAACACCATCGATTCAAAATGATTTTTCATACTATAGAAGAACACTTAGTAGAGGAAAACTTGCAATTGAAGTTAGTTTTTCTTTTATTTATTTAAATTTTTTTTTGGGAAAATAAATAAATAAATTTTATTTTATTCTTCTTAGACAGATTTAAAGACTGACATGATTGAAGATGAATTGGCAAATAAAATTTCATTATTTTATGCATATCCAACGCCAATGTTGAAAATGGTTACTGATGTGACTGCACATTTAATGACAAAGGTAAATTCATTAAATATATATTTATATTATTTTTTATCATCATCCTCATCGTCTTCATTATTTATATATAGGATAATCTTGGCAAAGGTATATTAGAATGTTTATCAGGATTAGCTGCTGCTTGTTATCAGACTGTCACAAGAAAAAGGTGAAAAAAATAGTTTTTTGAAAATAAAAATAAAATCAAATATTTGTTAATATTTACAATATACTTAATAATCAATACTAATATCATTAATGCATTAGATATCAAAATCCAGAAACCACATCATTTTGTTTGAGAGTAATGGTTGTGTGTATTATTTTATATGATCATATTGATCCACAAGGAGCTTTTAATAAACAATCACCAATAAATGTAAGTAATTATTTTTTTTTTAATTAAAAATGCTAATATTACAATTGTGATTTTAATTTTAAATATAATGAATAGATAAAATCATCAGTAAAAGCGATTCAAACTCATGGTACAAGTGAAAGCTCTAATTTGATGTCAGCTTTACGATTCAATACCAAACATTTAAATGATGATTCTACACCAAAAAATATCAAACAACTTTTGAGTAGTCATTGATTAATCAATTGACCTTTTTTACTTTAAACAATTACATTCTTTAATTCCATGTCTTCATTCCCCGATTCACATTTTTATTCCTTTATCCATTCACTATTACATCATTCGCTCATCCACTCACTCATTCATTTGATTGTTCACATACCAACACATTAATTAATTTACTCCTTCCTAAAAAATAAATTATTTTTTATTTTCTTTTTATTTTCTTGATAATATTTTAATCTTTATTTTGTTATTTTGTTATTTTTATATTATATGCTACTCAGGCTGGAACTGTTTTATAATATAATTTTTATATTTCAATAATAGTAATAATAGTCAGTAGTTCTCATTTTTTCTAGTACAATCATTATCATCATTATAATATTGTCTATTTATTTATATAATTTAATTA